GAAAAGAAGGGGTAAGTTAGGACTAGAAAGTCACAAATCTTCACAAGGTGGTAGTTAAAGAAATATAAAAAGACCAGAGGACAAGAATTCCCAATCTGACAGAAAGAGGTCTATTTCAGAGAGGAGGCAAAAGATCTTCAAGAAGTGAAAGAGATGGGAAATAAGACAGGAAAGATAAAAGGCATTAAGAGAAGAAGCCATGCTTTCTTTGCCTATTCTATGAAGCAGAAGATTTCTTGATGAGAAATCGCTTTTACTTGTAAGGAGAATGCTGCCTTAAGAACTGCATGTTGTAAAAGTCTTTTGGAGAATACAAACTGTTTACCAGATATTCCTGTACCTTTCGCATAATTCTGTACGAGTTATTTATCCATATATATAATAACCACTTCCATATTTAGATCTCTAATCAGGATCTCAATCCTAAATTCTAGGAAGCATTAGTTAAAGCAATCCTCAAAGCCAACCCTTTACACTTTTTTTTTAAATAAAAAAATTTTTAATAGTGAGACATCATGAGGTATAGTTGCAGACTTACAAATTTCTGTGCTTGGGTTTCAGTTATATAATAATCAAGTACCCATCCCTCCACCAGTGTCCATTTTCCACCACCACGGATCCCAGTATCCCTCCCACCCCACATTCTCCCCATCCCACCCTGCCTTTGTGGCAGGGCATTCCTTTTGTTCTCTCTCTCTCATTGGGTGTTGTGGTTTGCAAAAGAGGCAATGGGTGACAATCATGTTTAGTCTATAGTCTACTTTCCGCATGCTTCTCCCATCCTGGGAGGATCCTCCCAACACCTTTATTTGGTGTTCCCTTCTTTATCTGAGCTCCCTTTTCCCCTAGCATGTGTGGTTGGCCTCCAAGCCACGGAGTAAAATTCCTGGTACTAATCTCGGCCATTCTTGGGTGTTAGTCTCCTATTTTGTTACTTTATGTTCCCCAGATGAATGCAATCTTTCTATGTCTATCCCTTTCTTTCTGAGTCATTTTCCTTAACAAGATACTTTCCATGTAGTACCACTTGTATGTAAATTTCGTGACTTCCTCTTTTCTAACAGCTACATAGTACTCCACTGTGTAAATGAACCAAAGTTGATCATATCAATAGATGCAGAGAAAGCATTTGGCAAGATCCAGCACCCATTTATGATGAAAACCCTAGCCAAAATGGGGATAGATGGGACTTTCCTCAATATAGTTAAAGCCATGTACCACAAGTCTACAGCAAACATCGCCCTCAATGGCGAAAAACTGAGAGCCTTTCCTCTAAGATCAGGGACGAGACAAGGATGTCCACTCTCTCCACTGCTGTTCAATATAGTACTGGAAGTACTTGCAATAGTGATTAGGCAAGAAGAAGATATTAGGGGCATCCAGGTAGGAAAGGAAGAAAGCAAGCTCTCACTATTCCAGATGATATGATACTATACTTAGAGAATCCTAAAACCTCTACCAAGAAACTTCTAGAAACAATAGGCTTGTATAGGAAAGTTGCAGGCTATAAAATCAATATCCAAAAGTCCATGGCTTTCCTATATGCAAATAGTGAAAGAGAAGAAAGTGACATGAAGAAAACAATCCCATTTACAATTGTGCCCCAGAAAATCAAGTACCTAGGAATCACCTTAACTAAGGAAGTAAAGGACCTGTACAAAGAAAACTACAAAACGCTACTTCAGGAAATAAAAGAGGATACAAGGAAATGGAAAAATATCCCCTGTTCATGGATCGGGAGAATTAACATTGTCAAAATGGCAATACTTCCCAAAGCACTGTATAAATTCAACGCAATCCCTATTAGGATACCCATGTCATTCTTCAAAGAAGTGGAGCAAACACTCCTGAAATTTATATGGAACAATAAGCCCCCAGTAATAGCTAAAGCAATTCTTGGGAAAAGAAAATGGAAGGAATCAACCTCCCTAACTTCAAACTCTACTCCAAGGCAGTAATAATTAAAACAGCATGGTACTGGAACAAAGGCAGAGCTGTAGACCAATGGAACAGGGTTGAATATACTGACATCTCCCCCCAAGCATCTAATCTTCGATAAGGGGCAAGAAAAGTGAAGTGGAGCAGGGGAAGCCTCTTTAACAAATTATGCTGGCAAAACTGGACGGCTACATGCAAAAAAATGGGCTCAGATCTCTGCCTAATTCCATGTACAAAAGTAAGATCTAAGTGGATTAAAGACCTCAACATCAGACTGGAATCTATAAGGTACCATTGAGGAAAAAGTTGGCAAAACCCTCCATGACAAAGAAGCTAATGGTATCTTCAAAGATGTCACACCACTGGCCAAGCAAGTGAAAACAGAGATAGACAAATGGGACTATCTTAAACTAAGAAGTTTCTGCACCTCAAAAGAAACAGTGACCAAAATACAAAGACAGTCTACAGAATGGGAAAGGATATTCGCCAACTACACATCTGATAAGGGGTTAATTCCAAGGATATACAAAGTACTGGTTGAACTCCACAAAAAGAAAACATTCAACCCCATCAAAAAATGGGGAGATGAAATGAATAGAAATTTTCACAAAGAAGAAATTCGAATGGCAAAAAGGCACATGAGAAAATGCTCCACATCATTAATCATCAGGGAGATGCAGATCAAAACCACAATGAGATATCACTTCACACCACAGAGACTGGCCCATCTCCATAAGAACAAAAGCAACCGATGCTGGCACAGATGTGGCAAGAAAGGGACACTCCTTCACTGTTGGTGGGAATGTCGACTGGTTCAGCCCTTTTGGAAAACAGTATGGACGATTCTCAAAAAATTAGAAATTGAGCTCCCATTCGACCCAGCAATACCACTCCTGGGAATATATCCCAGAGAGGCAAAACTGTATAGTCGAAGTGACATCTGCACTTGTTTGTTCATTGCAGCACTCTTTACAATAGCCAGAATCTGGAAAAAACCTGAGTGCCCGAGAACAGATGACTGGTTAAAGAAACCTTTACACTTTTTAATTCCAACTCAATCTTTAACCCTTATCTCAAAAAGCACTCCCAAGGTCAGAGAAATAGCAGAGGGATTAAGTGTTTACTTCCCATACAACCAATCCTGGTTTTCTCCCCAGTACCATATGGTCCCTGGAGCACTGCCTGGAGCAACCCCTGAGCACTAAACTAGTACCAGGGCATGAGGCCCCAAAACCCCACAAAATAAACTTCCACAAAGAAAGCTTATCTGCCTCCTTAAATTTAAGATTGACTTTTCCTCAAATATGCTTATGACAGGCTGCCAATCATTTAAGTATTTCTAAATGTATATTTTACTTTTGTGGTAAGTAATTTGTCAATCCAAAGATGATTAAAGAAAAGCTTGTGCTTCTCTGTATTGTTGTATCTCTTGCCTCCAGCAGAATACAAAGCTTGTTAAGTAATGAACCAACAGTGCAGTGACCATGTAAGCCCTACTATCAAACAGTGTTGCACAGAGATGGGGCTTAGAAAATAACAGGACCTGAATTGACTCGGAAACATGTCACTTAGGAATCAAGCAAAAGAAAGAGAGAAAAAAAAGCTGTTAAAAATATCACAACAAAGAAAACAGGATCAAAGAGAATCAAGAGAAGATAAAATAGAAAACAGAAGCAGCCCCTGAATTTGACAACCAATTAGCTAGGAACCTGAAAACAAGGAATATGAGACAGAAATGGGGAGTGAGGGCGCAGGGGGGAAGAGAGCACCTAGGGCAAGAGGTAGAATTGAAGGTTCTTTGATACACTAGAACTATAGTCCCAGTACAATTCAATGAGAGAAGGAAAATATATGTGCCACTTTTTTGGAGGGACATGATAAGTTTTAAAAAAAATTTTATTGAATCACTGTAAGATAGTTACAAGCTTTCATGTTTGGGTTACAATCACACAATGATCAAACACCTATCCCTCCACCAGTGCACATTCCCCACCACCAATATCCCCGGTTTACCCCCACTTTCCCACACTCCCCCTGCCTCCAAAGCAGACAATATTCCCATAATTTCTCTCTACTTTTGGGCATTATGGTTTGCAATACAGACACTGACAGGTTAGGCATGTTAATTTTTTAAGATGAAAATTATATCATGCATCTTTTTTTTTAAAATTGAATCACAGTGAGATACGCAGTTACAAAGTTGTTCATGACTGGGTTTCAGTCACATGTTCCAACCACTCGTCCCTCCACCAGTGTACATTTCCCACTGCCAGTGTCCCCAGTTTCCCTTCTTATACACCCTCCCCATCCCGCCTACCCCTCTGGAAGGCGCTCGCGCTCTCTCTCCCTCTCTCCCTCCCTCTCTCTCTCCCCTCCCTCCCCCCCCCCCCCCCCCCGTCTCCTTTTGGATAAGTGGCACTTCCGATGTGACCTATTTCTCGACGGGGCGAACCGTTGTGGAAAAGCTGCTTCTGTGACACGGAAGAGTAAATGATCCGATACAGACACGCTATGGACACGAAATAGCTCTTTCCGTTTCTCCAAGAACTTACCTCCCGGATTCATCAAAACAGACATCCGTGTGTCCCTCAGTATGGCCGTACCTCATCGGCTTCTGCGTGGCAGGCATCTTGTACTGTGCGTGTTATTGTCAAGAAGGAAGCGGGAGCTGCAGAGGAAGCAGGGAAGTTAGCGTTGGGCTAGGGACGCTTTCCACAGCTTCTCGCCCCCTACCCGAATGACACCTGCAAGAGACAGCAAGACCTGTCAGACCCTGAGCCGGAAATAAGACTAGTTTCTCGCGGGGCGGCGCAGGCACGGGCGGCGAGACGGAAAACTCCTCACAGCGACGACGACCCAACTACAGCGGCTGCGGAAGAAGCGATCACCTGGCGCCGGCGCCTCGCAGCTTCCCGCGCTCGGGGACGCGGGCCACAGTGCGCCTGCGCCGGCCCGCCCACGGCCCGCGCGGCTCCAGACCGGAGGTCGCCGAGTGGTGGCGTCAGAAGCGCGCCGGCAGCTGATGGAAAAAAGCCGGTTTCTGAGGGAGGAAGAAAGGGGGGGAGGAAAAAAAAAAAAGAGAGAAAGAGAGCCTAATACGGAAGTGGTGGCGGCGCCTGGGGAGCAGGTGGAGGCGGTGACGGAGACGTCCCAGACGGAAACCCAGCGCCAAGGGGTGGGGGCATGCGGAAAGACATCGGCTTTCTCGGGTTCACGTGAGGTGCCGGACTGCCGGGGGCCTCCCTTCTCCTCGGCGAAGCACAAGGAAGTGATGGCGGTGGTGATGGCGGCAGTTACTCGGACGGCCCCAGTGAAATTGAGCTCCGGGAGGTGAGTAGGGGGACGGGGGACGGGGGATGGCTGCCGGGCCTTGCCGATGAAAGAAGGGGTCTGCTCTTCCCTTCCAGACTTTTCTCCCTGGCGATCACATCCGGGTCCCTAGAAGGGTCCAGCCCCCTCCCTCGGAGCCCGGAGAGAGAAAGGAGATTTGGGGATGGGAGTGTGTGTGTGTTGGGGGGGGGGGGGGGGGGTCCTCTTCTCTAGAGAAGGAGAGCATCCTTGGCCCTCTTGGTATTTCTGTAGAGACAAAAGAGGCGATTCTTCCTCGCAGTGTGCTGTCCCTGGAGGAAATGGCGTGGTACCTTCACGCCTGCTGTTCGTACTGTACATATGTCCCTAAAGAGGAAAAACACTTGGGCTTGCAGGTACACACACACACACACACACACACACACACACACACACACACTACCCCACCCCCACCCCCCAGAATTGGATCGAAAAGAAGAGCTGCGTGTGGTTGACTGTTCCCTGTGCTCATATTATTAGTCTTGGCCATTTCAATTCATTCTCCATATTGCGAGACCTGCCTCTGATGAGAATCTCCCCCCCGGGATATTTGTGGTTCCCTCCCTTCTCGTCTCCATCGGACTCGGTGTGACACACGGCGCACGTTTTCCCGTGGTAGAGATCGTGTGGTCATTTTTCAGTTTCCTTTACTGTTGTGCAAAGTCGCAAACGCATGGCTGGACCAACCGGTGGTGTTCGGATGTGGGGGGGGAGGGTGGCTTTTTGAAGGCCGGGGCCTCCTAATAGGCTTGCATTAGCCGCAGGAGTCTAGTGCATGAAGAGGGTGAGTGATTTAGAACAAATTTAGGACTTGTGGCAGCCTACAGTTGATTTCCTACAAGAGCAAAAGATCCCTGAGTTGGTTCTCGTTGCTTTTTTATTTTGCAATCACTTGGGTTTGGGTTTATTCTTTTTTTTTTTCTGATGGACTGATTAAAAAAAATTTTTTAATCCAAGTAACTGTCATTGAATGCACGGTAGGGTTCAAGATGAATTCTAGTAATACTCTTTCTAAAATGAACAAATAATGCACTAGAGCTAGTACAGCGAGTAGGGAATTTGACTAGAGATAGCAGGTAAGGAGCTTTCCCACTGCCGATTGGGTTTTGATCTCCAGCACCCAGTTTGGTCCCCGGAGCGCTGTCTGGAGTGATCCGTGAGCGCAGAGCTAAGAGTAAGCCTTGAGCACCACCGGGTGTGGCCCAAAAACAAGTATATAATGAACAAATCATGATGAGACAAGTACAATTCAGAGCCCTGCGTAAGAATCTGCATATTGAGAATAGAGTTATGGCTTTGTTCTGTCTTAACTATAATATCTATAATGCCACGTGACTCTAATCCCTGAGTAATGAAGCTAGTTGATTCATAGGTTTTTCTTTACAAAATTAACATTTATGAAAAGAGCTTGAACATAGTAACAGAACTGCCCTAGATTTTCGTTTTGACTTCAACAACTACTCCTTGTGCGACCTTGACTGTGGTTCTCTACTTTTTCTGATAACAGGTTTTCTTAGATCCAGCCGTATAATACTAATTGTTACTAATGTCTCAGCTACTTTGGGCATGCTTTCAGTGATTTCATCTAAACTGAAGTTGATTTAAATAAGTGAAAATTTTCCAATTTAAGAAGACAAATTCATGCTTTCATTAGTATAGTTTCACAATTTCATTCCTCATTGAGAAAAATACCTGGAAATTTTAATGTCTTCAGTGAACTTTGTTGAGGAAGATACTCAAAGAATATGTAGAGTATGATAGTGCAGTTATTAAATGAATATTAATAAATTATATTTGTTAACAAAATTGATTATTTGCGATAGCTTACTTTCAAAAAAGTAACTGAACAGGTTGGCTATCACTGATATGGCAGTCAAATTTCCAAATGAATTTATTTATCATTAACACAGCACGTCATATAGAATTGAGTAGCTGAATATAACTCAGAAAATAAAGCCAATCTTGCAGATTCAATTGCTGTAAAGGTTACTTAGCTTTGCTCTAGAAGGTTAATTCATAATACTGTCCTAAAGCAATGTCTCAAGGGCCTTAGGGTGAAAAAACATGAATGTGTATTACTGGAGTACTGATGGTAGTATTAACTAAAAATAACAGTATCAGTACTAGAAAGATAGTACAGGGATTAAGTCGCTTGCCTTTGGTGCTTCAGTGCTTCTGCGTATTCCCTGAGCACAACCCAGAGTGATCTCTGAGTACAGAGCTAGGAGTAAGTCTTGATCACTGCCCGGTGTGGCCCAAAAAAAAATAAAACAACCCTCCAAGAAAAGGTATTATCATAACCTTAGAGTATCAATTTTTTTCAGTATTATGGAGGGCTTTTTTAAATGTCTTCAGTAAAATAGGTGCTTGACATAATCCTGTGAAAAATAAAGCTGAGTAACAGATTAGTAATAAAAATATAAGAAAAGCCTAATATGGAGATATATGGAGATTTTTGTATCTTTGAAAGTATTTTGAACTTACCAAACTATTTGCAGGATAAATAATGCTTGCTAATGTACAGACTTCTGAGGTATAAAAAGGGATACATCAAAAATCAACATACTCCATTACCCAGTTCCTCTAGAGGAAACAGTAGTTGATTTTTATGTTGTTAGGTTGACTACAGATCCTTACCATAGCAAGACAAAATCAATCACTGTTTACTCATTTAAAAAAAACCCAGGTCTCAGAAAGTTGTGAATTGTCCAAGGTTACACCTTTACCAAAGACTGAGGTAGAAATAAAAACAGGTGTTTTACCTATGATGTCTTCTACATAGCTTCCGTAAATCATAACTGTTCATGTAAAACATATTAAGGCATAGAGGCAATTTTAAATCCAGAGTTGCCATTAAGGAGCCAGAGCTATAGTGCAACAGGTAGGGCATTTGCCTTGCACGCAGCCAATCTGGGTCCAATTTCTGGTATCCCATATGGTTCCCCAAGCACTGCCAGGAGTAATTCCTGAGGGCAGAGTCAGGAGTAAACCCTTAAGCATTGCCGGGTGTGACCCCCAAAAAGACAAAAAAATATATATATAAATAAATAAAAATTTTAAAATAAAGTCATCATTAAATCACAGAATCTCAAAAAAATAAAACGGAAAAAATATCTAAAGTCATACTAGGTTGTAAGTAGAACTTGTTTCACAAGATTAATTGTAAGCTTCTAAAGTGTTTAATATTTAAATGTAATATTTAATTAAGTGTTTGATATCTATATGTTGTTTAAATATGTAAATATTTCAATGTAATTATTTAAAGCCCTTCTCGGAGAGCCCAGCAAGCTACCGAGAGTATCTCGCCTGCACGGCAGAGCCTGGCAAGCTACCCGTGACGTATTCAATATGCCAAACACAGTAACAACAAGTCTCAAAAAAATGGAGACGTTACTGGGCCCGCTCGAGCAAATCAATGAACGATGGGAGGACAGTGTTTGTTATTTAAAGCAGTGAAATAATACTCGTTTTAACTGCATTTTGTTGAAATCCATTAATAATAAAAATTATCTTGCAAAACTACAATTTGTGACTGGTGGAGGAGTCTCCCAAGTCATGCTCAGAGGTCTCCTAGGCCACTTCCCTCCATACTCAGATAACTGCGCCTGTGCTGGTTTGGGCCCTGCAGTGCTCTGCCACAGCCACACTGGTGCTCCAGGGAACACATGCTGCGACACCAGCCAGGGCCTCTGAATGGTTTATCCTTTTAGTTTTCTCCCAGGGCACAAGCTGCAAGGTTTTTTATGATTAGAAGTATAGTTGTTTATATAACATTTTAAGAGTTTATAATTTGTTTACTCTCAGGAATAGTTACATCAGAAATGCTAAGAGAGAATGGAGAGAGAGATTGTACTACATGTAGGCACCTGTCTTGCGTGTGGCTGACCATACTGGATTCTGGATACCCCATAAGATCCCCTGAGCACTGCCAGGAGTGAACCTTGAGCACCACTGGGTGTGGCTCAGAAATAAAGCAAATAAATAAATCCCACAGAAATGCTGAAGACTCCTCAGCCTCAGACTTGTGAAGTTCATTTTTGTGCAAATTTTCTAACTTTTTATATGACCCTTCTTTTCTTTTTCATTTTGCCACTTTACATTTTCCTACCTCATTTGAAACTAACTGCTTCTACATGAAGAGTTTAGAGGCAGGAATTTGCATCTTACTCAGTAAGGGAAAAGGAAATTTTAAAATAATAATAAATACCACTCGGGTCAGCCATGTTGGCTGCCTGCAAGGCAAACGCCCTACCACTGTGCTATCGCTCCAGCCGGACTGGAGCGATATCCGGGCTGGAGCGATAGCACAGCGGTAGGGCGTTTGCCTTGCATGCAGCCAACATGGCCGACCCGAGTTCGATTCCTCCGCCCTTCTCGAAGAGCCCGGCAAGCTACCGAGAGTATCTCGCCCGCGCGGCAGAGCCTGGCAAGCTCTCCGTGATGTATTCGATATGCCAAACACAGTAACAACGAAGTCTCCAATGGAGACGTTACTGGGCCCGCTCGAGCAAATCGACGAACAACGGGAGGGCCTTTACCTTTACCTTTTAATAAATACCACAGTGTATGCTCCAGAGTAGTAGCTGCCTCCAGGAAAAAAAAATTAATATATAGCAGTTCAACCTTTTCTCAATGGTTGTTTCACCTTTTTCTATTTTTAAGAAGCCTCTCTGTTGCTACCAACAAGGATCTTTGACTTGTCCATACCTTTCGAAGTATTGAGGGTGGGGATGTGGCGTAGTGGTAAAACACATGCCTTGCAAAAATTGACCTGGACCGTTGCAAAAAAAAAATTCTCAAAAGTACCTTTTATTTCTATACTACTAAAGCTACCTCCCTTTGTTTTTAATCTTTTCTACTAATTTATACAAAGTTTGTATAAAATTCCAAACATTAATAATAGATTGTTTGAAAGGACTGTCAGATTGAAAATCCAACAGTATTTTTACATTTAGATTTTACATGTACAGGCAAGACACCAAAGCACTTTTCAAAACTTGTCTTTATTCTTTAAATATACAATAAAAATAATTTTATTTTCACTAAAAGTTATTTTATTGAAAGTTAAGTAGGGGGAAAAGGGGGCCTCGGCCACACCCAGTAATGCTCAGTTTGGGGGCAACACTTCTGGCAGTACTAAGGCAACCATATGTGGTGCTGGGAATCAAACCAGGTCAGCTGCTTGCAGAGTAAGTACTCTGCTCTCTATTCTGTCTCTGTACCCTCAACATAATTTCAGGTTTGTTTTCAGGGGCTGGAAAGATAGCACATCGATCAGGGTGCTTGCCTTGCTGATGCAGGTTCAATTGCTAGCACCCCATACGATGCCCCAAGCAGAACCAGCAGTAAACCCTGGGTATTGCTGGGTATGGCCCAAAAAACAAACCAAATAAAGATGTTCCTTGAATGCTGCTTGGCAAAGCTGACTTTTAGGCTCTGAGGTTCCTTAGCTGTTGCTTGTCCAGGGAATTTTTTGTCATTTCTTCAAGTTGAATGATAATCTAACTGCAAATAATATTTTTGATGAGACGTTTATTTCATTCTGCGCTTTTTTTATTATTATATCACCTCATTTTCTCTTACCTGTAGAGTCTAATTTGATAAATCTGTTGGGATTTCCTTTATTGGTGAACCTTTCTTTGATCTTGCTATTTGCTGTATTTTGTTTCTGTCTTTAACTTTCATCATTTTGTTTAACAATGTTGGGTTTTTCCTATTTGGATCCAACTTGGCTGGTACCCTCTGTGAGCCTCATTAATCTGGGTTGAGGTACACCTTAACTCTGGGAAAATATTACCTACAATTTCTTGGATTTATAATTCCTTCTTTTTTTCTTACAGACTCCGATGATTGTTACATTATCTCTTGAACTCATTCCATAGATCTCATGTGCAGTTCATTCCTGTTCAGACTTTCATTCATTTCATGCTGGTTTCTAGGGGTTTCTTGCATCCCATCTTGGAACTCTTTTTTTTCCTCAGCTATTGTTACTCTGCTATTTAGGCCGTCCATTAAGTTATTCACCCACCACACCCCAGTTGTCACTTCTGATTGTAGTTTTCTCATCTCTACTTATACTTATTTTATACCTGTTTATTTGAGCTCATTAAACATCCGCATCATGGTATTCCTAAGTCTTTATCTGAGAGATTATAGACTAGTAGGTACTGGTAGAGCCTTCACTTAAGGACTTTATGGGCTTTTACATGGCTTCCCCGTTGTGTCTTTTAGTCTCTGGTGTGAATTTTTATGATTCATTCCCTAAGATCTTTTAGTGATTCACTGCCTAGAAGCAATGGATTATACCTAGTATCTGCCCTAGGATGTAGACTTAACCTGGGGATATTGGTGACTTCAGTATAATGTTGAAGAAGTAGATGTATTCCAGCGTTTTGGGGATGAAGTTAAGGCTCCATTCAGTTCTCTCGGAATCTGTTAACAGGGGCTTCAGGTTGGAGTCCTGGTGTCCCTCCCAGACTGGCTGGCTCCAAAACTGCATTGGGGAATGCTCACATAAGCCACAGGAAGGCCTCACCAATAGCCAGGATTCCCCCACAGGTGGGATGCTGGGCTATCTAGTATTTTTTTCTGTAGTAAATAAGCCTTTTTAAAATATATATTGGCCTTAATATATAAACCATATAAATGAACAAATAATGATTTTTATTTATTTGGTTTTTTTTTTTTTTAGATATATCCAGAAAGTGCCCAGAAGAAACTTCCTGCCAGAAAAACTGAAAAAGCAGTATTTGTAACACTGGAGTTTGTGGATAAGTTGTTAAAATGGCAGAAAACATTGAAAATAATTGTAAAGATGTAGATGTAAGACCTAAAACTACTCGGAGTAGAAGTGCTGACAGAAAGGACGGTTATGTGTGGAGTGGAAAGAAGTTGTCTTGGTCAAAAAAGAGTGAAAGTTGTTCAGATGGTGAAACGGTGAATACTATAGAGAAAACAGAAGTTCCCTTAAGGAGCCAAGAACGAAAGCACAGCTGTTCATCCATTGAGTTGGATTTAGATCACTCCTGTGGGCATCGATTTTTGGGCCGTTCTCTTAAACAGAAACTTCAAGATGCTGTGGGGCAATGTTTTCCAATAAAGAACTGTAGTAATCGGCACTCTTCAGGGCTTCCATCTAAAAGAAAAATTCATATCAGTGAACTCATGTTAGATAAGTGTCCTTTCCCACCTCGATCCGATTTAGCCTTTAGGTGGCACTTTATTAAACGACACACTGCTCCTCTAAATCCCAAATCAGATGATTGGGTAAGCACAGACTTATCTCAGAGTGAACTAAGAGATGTTCAACTAAAACAAAGAAGAAACATGGAGGAAGAGGTAAACTGTTTCTCACATACCAATGTTCAGCCTAGTGTCATAACCACAAACAGTGCTTCATGTGGAGGTGGTCCTATGACTGGTTCTGTGATGAACCTAGTTTCAAATAACAGTATAGAAGATAGTGATATGGATTCCGATGATGAAATTATAACACTTTGCACAAGCTCCAGGAAAAGAAACAAACCCAAATGGGAACTAGATGAAGAAATCCTGCAGTTGGAAACACCTCCTAAGTACCACACTCAAATTGATTATGTTCACTATCTTGTACCAGACCTCCTTCAGATCAATAACAATCCATGTTATTGGGGAGTTATGGATAAATACGCAGCTGAAGCTCTACTAGAAGGAAAACCAGAAGGTACTTTTTTACTTCGAGACTCAGCACAGGAAGACTATTTATTCTCTGTTAGTTTTAGACGCTATAGTCGTTCTCTTCATGCTAGAATTGAACAGTGGAATCACAACTTTAGCTTTGATGCACATGATCCTTGTGTCTTCCATTCTCCTGATATTACTGGGCTCCTAGAACATTATAAGGACCCAAGTGCCTGTATGTTCTTTGAACCACTTTTATCTACTCCTTTAATTCGGACTTTCCCCTTTTCCCTGCAGCACATATGCAGAACAGTTATTTGTAACTGTACAACTTATGATGGCATTGATGCCCTTCCAATTCCTTCCTCTATGAAATTATATCTGAAGGAATATCACTATAAATCAAAAGTTAGAGTTCTCAGGATTGATGCACCAAAACAATGCTAAGAAAGGGGTAGAAACATTGGAATTATACACATATTTTTATTTAACGGTTTATTTTTCTTATGCTTTGAATTTTTCTACAAGGGCAGTCAGTACAAAATAAACTTCTGCCCTAAGTTTTACTTCCAAATCATTTTATTTTTTTTCTGACACACTAATTGTTTAAAGTTATATACACTAAAGATTAATGGACGTTTTTGACCAGACTTGTTTTTTGTTTTTACCATATAGATTATATACCTAATTTTTTTCTTTTCTTGATTATAGTTTGCAATGCTCCAGGGATATTCAAAATTTGGTAGACATTGCAAACACAGTTGAATAATACATATTTTGTACTTTTTTAAAAATAGTCCTGTAATCCTTCCCAAAATGCTGTGTTAACCTATGCCATTAGTATTTCTATCTATATAGTTTCCCCATCCCCATTGTCAGAATTGTTTTAAATTCTTCAGTAAAAGTTAAGTGTGTTGTAATTCATAATACATATTAATGTAATGGACTTACGTATTTAATAGGGTTGTTAAAGTAACAAAATGGCTTAAAATAAAAGTTGATGTGCTTTCATTTTACATATTAACCATAAAGTAGGGTTTCTAAGTCTGATTATTCTGGTCAGTAAAAAATGAAGAGAGGATCTGACTGAGTGGTAGAATGAATGCCTTATGTATGTAAGGCTCTTAGATGGATCTCAGGCACCTCAAAAAAGGAAAAAAATTGAATGAAAGTATGACATTTTGACAGTGAATTTATTCTTTACTGTAGTGAGCTCATTTGTTTTATTCCTTGAATAGCTCTTTCTCTCCACCTGGAAGAATTAGAATTAGTATCTTCGGAATGTAAATATTGTTCCTTTATTACCTGACACTCTAAAAATGATAAAACTATTAGTAACTAGTACTTACTAAAAAAAGTTACTAAAGCAACTGTGAGGTTTTTCTGTATTTACTAATAATGTGCTGTTGCTTCTTCTTAGACCTTTTATAGACACTAAGCTTGTTCTTTGGAGGAGATGCCACAATTTATTTTTAAAAATAGCCACAAGTTTCCATCAGTAAGCAACGAATTTTTTAATTCCTTTTAATTACTCTGGAATAAAGCTTCAAGAGGTAGAGACCCTCCATATTCAGGCAGTTTACTACTGTTTTTAACATTTGAGTTTCAAATAATTATCTTTATTTTCATAATTAATGTTTTTATGATAGCTTCCAAAAAAGAAAAACATTTTGAAAGCTGTGTAAGGTTTATTCCATACCAGTACAGGGCATCAGGGGTAATAATTTACATTTACTCTCCCGTGGACAGGGAAGCATTTTTAGAAACATCATTAGCCCAATATAATAAAGATTAATGGAGTGATATTCTATCCAGCTCCTCTTTTTTTTAAAGAATCAATAAATTCCCCAGATAGTTGTTTCTTCTGGTGAGCTATCTACCCCTTTTTACAAACTTACATTTTTAATATGATAACCACAGATTTCTTGATGGTCGTTTTGCTCTAGTAAAAAGCTGCTTTTATCTGAATTGAAAGAAATTTGACTCAGATTTCCAAGCTTAAACAGATGTTTCTTAAGTATCATTTCTTTAAATTGAAGTATCATTCCCCTTTCCTGAAAGTGCACAGTTAATAAAGATGGCATTTTCAATAACAATTTTAAAATAGCAATTCAGAATCAAAGGAAATATGTTACCAATATAGTTCAGCTTTTTTTTTTTCTCAGTGGTCTCAAGTCTGTTTTGGTTCCAGTTAGGGGTTGCTGTTAAAATGGCACCTCTCATCAGTGATGAGGCTCAGAATATCTTTACACCACCATCAGAATAAATAATCTCTTATAAAGTTGAGATTTTCCTTTTTCAAGTGTAGAAAAGTCTCATACTACCTCAACTTATTGTGGCACTTTTGTAGATCACTGAGAAGCTTAACTGAGTTACCAATATGATACTTCCTAAATAACCATCTTTGGTGAAAGAAAATTAATTGTATGGTAAGACTCTACCCGTAATTAGAGCTTTTTATCAGAACTTGATAACAAGACTTTCTGTTTCTGTGAAACAATTATTTTAACTATTTTTCTTTTAAAAATAACTTTTTATCAGTACAGAAAAACCTAAAGGATGATTAGCTAAGAATACTCTGTTAAAAAGTAATTTTATAAAGGAAGATAAAGTAAAATTATGTTGCCTTTTATAATGATAAAAATTAGTGTTTGTATAAAAATATCTAAGTCATTTTTCATATATTCAGATTGGTTGCTTGTGATATATTTTCTCTGGCTTAGTTTTTCAACTTCAAGGTATTAATAGCTGTTAACATTTTCAAAATACTGCCATACATAGCCTTGAAGTAGATGATCCAAATGATCTGGGAAGAAATTCATTTACTTTGAAATGATTTGTTTTTGTTTTGCTTGATATTTGATACAATGAAAAGATACCTGGAAAGTAGAAACAAAGATTTGAGAAGGTAGATTAATGATTTTTTACAGCATTATGGGATTGGAATTTTAACCCTTTGGTAACTAAGGGCACATTTGGGAAACTACTCAGTAATCAGAAACTTAACTCGTTTTAAAAAATACATTTATTGGAATATGTAAGTAAAATGAGTAAATTCTGAGGAGCAATGTGGAAAAGATAAATCCAATACAGGAATAAAAATTTTACAACTCTTAAGTTTGATATTGTGAAGATTTGAAAAGTATAAATTCCAGAGTTGATCAGGCATTCAGCATGGTGGAACTGTGAAGAGTTTATTGATAAGAAAGGATGGGGCTAAAAGAAACAGGATAAAATATTAAAATTAAGAATGAGGCATTACCTCAGGGAAATGCCTTGACAGTGAAAGAGAACTACTTAATCGCTAATAGCTAGTCTGGACCAGACACTTAACTGTGCTTTGGGAATCGTCCTGCACTAATCAGGAAATAAACTTGACTTTTCTATTTCTTTGAAGCTTTTCAGGACATACCTCCTCCCCAACCCAGTTTAGTTTGGGGGGGGGGGTTAAAGGGGGCATTGGGGGGGGGCAGGGGTTTTTTGGGTTTTTTTTTTTTTAACTACAGCTTCATTCATACTCTAGTTCCTGAAGTATGTTGAATGGATTTTTGCTTTTTTTTTTGGGTTTATGAGCATTTTATATGAAGTCATATGTGGTCTTTGTATAACCATGTCATACACTTAAATAATTCACAGTGGGAATAGTTTAATTTAAAGCAAGACCTAATAGGAAAAATAAAGGAAGCTTTTAGTCAGCTTGTGACTAGATTTATTGATCTGCTAATCAGACCTGGATTCTTTACTGAATTTCAGCTAAGAACGAACTGGGGTCAAAGAGTAACTTTCAGTTAAAGTTTTGACTTCTTATTATAAATAATATAAAGGATATCTTAGTAATTAGAAATCCTTTAAAAAGTAGAGCAAATGTGGCAAATTGGACTCAGATCATTACTTAAATTCCATTTCTTTTTATAAGAAAAACACAAACCATTATCATTTATTCATGAGACAAAGCCATTAAGATAAATCAAGTTATCAGCTTCCTGTCTGAAGTTTGGGTCATTTTATAGATTCACGTAATAGCTTCCTTCCTGTGAAACAAAATCTTTGAGACCAAAATCTCTTATAAATACACTCTTAGCTTTCATTAAAAATCTTGTCAGTTTTAGCTATATTCAGATCAAATAAATCCTGTAATAATTTGGGCAGAGCAAATTTCACGAAAAAGTAGAAGACTTTCCTGTATTAAAAAAATAAGTAAAAATAATGCAAACATAAAATGACCAGGGTGTTGATGTCCATAGGAATAAGACATTTTGAAATCAGGATATTTCTGCATTGGGAAAAAAGTCTTTACAATTTTGGTTTTAACATCAGTTAGTTTCACATTCATTTTTATTTCTAAAGAACGAACTGAAAGCACAACGTGGTTTTGGTTTTTGTTTTTTAATGACATGTTAGAAATGAGCAACACTGCAAGAGTCTTTATACTAACCACCTCTACAGACATTGGGACACAAAATGGAGGTAACTTTTTGAAATACACTGGCTTCTGAGTAGTAATGTAGACTAATGTATATAACCCAAAGGAAAGGGAATTAGGGCACAGGAGTCGAATTTCAAAACCAAAGTCTACTTTTATTACCTTTAATTTTTAATAATTAGCCAGTACTAAATCTTTTTTGTTTTAATTTCCTGACTTAAAAAAAGTAAGTAATAATACTTTTCACTTGACTTCCTGAAAATTAATTCTTCAGTGAAGAGGTGACCCTTGGAGCATACTTGAAAATAATTGCGGTATAGCCCTTACACACTAATGTGATGATAGGTTTTCAGAGTATCCCTTCGTGAACCTGCAGATTGACATTCACTTCCTTTACTCTGTAATAGACTTTCTTGGCTTAATTTGACAATAGAGATAACTGTACAATTTGGATTTATGGTTTGGACTGCAATTAGATGAACAGTGCAATTTCCTATCCTTAATAAGGTCTGTGTAAAATTGATGTTTGCCTAAGTTATTTTAAAAAGTTGATTACATTTGGTGGAAGTAAGGATAATCACTTTTGCCATGATTATAATCAGATCTTAGCTTTCAGACTTGAGAGTGTAAAACTCAAGATTTACTTAAAGTGTGCCGACTTTGCTTGAAATGGATAAACTCTAAAAAGCCAAGTATGAACTTGATATGTACTTGAATATAGGGAATTTATTAACTTCACTAAAGTGTTAATTAGTATTCTTGTCAATTAAGCTTGTATGATCCACAACTTACCCCCCCAAAAGTAGACTGTCCATTTTTGTTTCTATTCCTACAGTTGAATGTTTTCTTTGATGTGAATTCAAATTGTTCTGAATAGTTTCGTTTCTTAATTAAAACTTCTTATATAAAATCCAAAGTCTTTGCATTTTGATCTTAAAACTTTGTATATATCTTTTTGTCACAAAATTAACTTAGCTTGTGTAAAAGAAATGTAAAAATTGGGATTCTTGTACATTTTCTAATTTGTTATACACTCCTCTGAGTTTGGATCCTCCAGAAGCTGATGCCAAGATGTGATCAAATATGCAAGAGATAATATTGGGGGGAACTTCGTGCCTTATATGCCATGTCGAATGTGAATCTGGAAATGCACTAGCAGGTTGATTTCCCTAGCACCTGTCGGAGCCCACAGGGTACAGGATGAACCTGATCTAAAATCCCTGCCATGCTCAGATATTGCCTGTGAGCTGGTGGCATAGTTAAGTGCTGAAAGTCAACAAGACTCAGATTAAGGGCAATTGAGTAAAGCACTCTGGCACAAATAGTTTTTGCCCACCCCCACCCCCGCCCCCGCCCCCCCACCACTACCACCACCAAATTCGGTAAAAGGTAAAGGCCCTCCCGTTGATCGTTGATTTGCTTGAGCGGCCCCAGTAACGTCTCCATTGAAGACTTTGTTGTTACTGTGTCTGGCATATCGAATACTCTCGGTAGCTTGCCGGACTCTCCGAGACCAAATTCGGTAATTTGTTGAAACTTTTTTTAAACCCTATGAGGAGCAAAATCAAAATTTTAAAACAGTAGCCTTTTAGGGCATTTGCCTTGCATGCAGGAGATCTGGGTTGGATCCCTGATGTCCCATACACTCCCCTGAGCACTGCCAGGAGTAATTCCTGAGTGCAGAGCCAGCAGTAACCCCAGAGCATCGCCGCCGGCCCCCCACGCACACTCCCCCCCCCACCCTAAAAAACAAAAAAAGATAAAATCAGTTCATTGGCTCAGGCTTCCCTCTGGCAAAAGGCACTGCCATTCACAGCACCCTTTGGAGAAGTGGGTCACTAGTGACGGTTAGTAAGTTTATAGTGAAATGTGAACCCGCTGACTCACCAGATGTTTACACAAAGAAGCAAAATGTAAGTATATCACTTATTTCTAATATGCGTACTATCTGCATCTTAAATTGCAAGTTTTATATATGCATATTTTTTCGTGAGAACCAGGATTCTAGACCCTACTGAGGGGGGAAAAAAAAGGCAGACTAACGTGGGGATATCTGCAAACTGCTGTTCCTTTATCAGTTTGTGTGCAAACGTCATCGCTTCCCAGATTTCCAGATTGGATAACATCCTAAAGATGCCCCAACTGCAAACGCCGCCGAGCTGCGAAGATCCAGAATCTACCGCTAGGCCATTCATTCAAAGGAACCAGATGGTAACTTCCGCTAGTGAGTCCAGAAAGTCACCGACCCTGCGCAGTTGAAGCTCGAGAAAATCCGGGCGCCTTCCTCCCGCCCTTCAGGAGAGAACAGTCACCCACCCGCCCCTGGGCCAGCACTGGGGGCGCCGCCCCGCCCGGGCCCGACGAGTCGTGGTGCCGCCCCAGGCCTGACGGGGGCGCCCACCTCCGGGTCCCGGAGCTACAAGGCGCGCGGGTGGGTCGGCGCGCGCGGCGTTCCCGCACTTCCTGTTCCGGTGTCGGGAGGAGTCGCGCGCGGCTGGGCTTAGTGTTGCCGCCGTCTCTGCTGTGGTCCGTGAAGTTAGCGCTCCACTCTTCGGTACCTGCTTCCCTCACGCCCATCGCCGCTCCTCGGCCTCGCTGCGGGTTCGGATCTAGTCGGTGAGAGCGCGGGGCTCGTGGAGCGGGGCGAAGGAGCGAGCGGGAGGCGGACGGGGTCGCGGCTGTGGGGGCTGCGGCGAATCATTCCCTCGGCTCACAGCTCGAGGCCGGGGGCCGCTACCCGCCGCCACACTTGACTGCCCCTAGAGACCCGGGTGCCTGGCGGCGGGTGACGTGGGACCCAGTAGGTTTCTCGGCTCTTGACGTCAGGCTGGGCCGCCGAGCGAGCCCGGCCCCTCCCCCATTCTTCCCGGGCGGGCGACCCGCTCGGCGGCCGGTTCGCTCCGGTTGAGCCCCGGATCCCCCATTGTTCCTTTGGGCCCTGTAGGGGCGACAGACCTCTGACCCCAGGCCCTGGGTATGAATTTCTGTTCCCAATAGGGGCGCTGGGCCTGAATCGCTTGTGGAGGGGGCGCGCTGGCTGCAGAGTCCGCGCCACGCGCCCCCCCCCCCTTGGGGTGATGACTTACTAAGGGACTCGGTAGCCAAAGCCTTCGTCGACGGACACCTCCCCTCCCCCACCTCCCCGCCATAGATGCCCCTGCCTGGGGTTTCGAGGTCGGGAGGTTCGGGGGGAGGTGGACCGTTTATTCTCTTGCCTCGAAATCCCCCCTCGCCCCTCGGCGTGCTCACCTGCCAGCAATCGGAAGTGCTCGCGCCGCCCCCGAGGCACCGGTGTTGTGCAGCGGTTCTTGCAGGCGAAGGGCTTGGCTTCTGTGCCCCTTGATGGGCGTGGAAGACCACCGTTTGCTGCTCTCCGTACCTGGTCTCCGAAACTCCTGGGCAAAGCTGATTCACCCCGAAACCTAAGTCGGGGACCATGGGGATATTCTCATTACTCTCTCCCGAGAGGAGCAGGCAGTTCCCTAAACACAACTCTGGGCGCCCAGACGCCTGCAACTTAGGGACCTCTGCAATGTAGGCTGTGGGGAACCACGTGCGGAGGGCAGAGCCCACTCCCAGAGTCAGGCTGCTGCCTCCTGCGCCAGCGGTCCAGTTTTCCCACCAGATACTCTCAGTGTCAAATTTCGGACCGTTTCCCGTTTTCAGGAGTCTTTGAATTAAGAACTGCCTGTAAAAGGAACGTAGAACTGTGACATCGATTGTAAAAATTGACGTTTACCCTTTTGCTGTGTGCTCTGGGGCTTGCGAAAATGAGACGATGGAATTTTTTTTTTTAATCTATTTCAGGGAAAACATTTGTGGCGGATACTGTTTCTCACTTTGCCCAGAGATTGGGAGAGTTCACTCTGTCCAGGGTCAGGGCAAAGAGAGTTTTATTCTGAGAACTGCACTTTTAGTGTCCAAGCTGTCCTCCGTGCCCATGTACAAAGGAAGACGAGATTATCCGGTTGTCCACTCTTTGTATCACAGGCGTGCTGTTCTTGAAGCACATTTGGTCTTAACATTGCTGATCATAGTTGAAATAAGTTTATTCAGATGAACTAACTCTGGCTGGGATGATTGAAGTCTTGGTGGAAAGACTTTCTGCTGATGATACAGTAGTATAGGGACGGGGGGGGGGGGGGGGGGGCCAAATAGTTAAAGGAGAGATTAGTAAAACATGGCACCAGAGAAAAATTGCCTAATTGCCTGAGTGGAAGTTAGAATGGGCTGAGGCCCAGGAATTGAAGGCGTTGATCCAAACATTCTCCTCTTCCCCACCCCTTTGTTGTAAACCTAAGGAAAAGTGCTCACCAAGCTCCCTGGTTAAGAAAATACAAAAGAAGTGATTTTTGGCTTTTCCTGGGCATCTTATTTAAACCCTGAGCCCCAGCATCTTTGCGCTGCCTTTCCCTTCCTCAAATAAAGCTTCTACTGAGATTGGCCCTCTGTTTTGAAAGTCTTGAATGTCTGAAGACTAAAATCTGAGCATTGTGACACTAAGACTTCACATCCTCTCTAAATTTCAGCCAATCTGAACTGCTTACATTTTTTATTTTTTTGGTCACATCCCATTGTGTCCAGGACTTAACTCCTGACTGTGCTGAGGAATCACTTCTGATGATAGTCTGGACCATATTGGGGTGCCCCAGATTGAACCCAAGTCAGAAAGTGCCTTCCCACTGTACTACCATCTCTCCAGCCCCTGAACTGTTTACCATTTTTCACAGATTCTTGCCTCCTCCCCTCGGCCTTTGTACAAGCTGTACTTTCTCTAGGGTCCCCATCCTCCTGTTCCCAGATGTTTACTCGCTGCAAAGACACTACTTCTCAAGATTCTACCTCTAATGCTTCCTTGAAGTCCTTAAGTTGCTCTGGGGTATCCACAAATGACCTTGTGCACAATTAACCCCAACTTCAGCTTTTAGATTTTCTGTTGTGAACATATTTTGTGTAATTCTATTAATTGCCTCAAAGCCCCACACAGTACCCAGCAATTTTGTTCGGATAAATGTCTGGTAAATGTAAAAATCCAGGTGACTTGTGGTTGTTGAAGAAAATGATTTTTTTTTAAATTACATTTCTTCAAAATGCTAAATGTTCAGAAACTTTCAAATACCCAATTTCTTAATGCAAAATAAAATGTCTGATAGACCAGTACTGAAATAAAAATATTCTAATTTAAAATTTATGTTTTTGGAACTGAAGAGACAGTGCAATAGAAAAAGTATTTGCCTTGCTTCCTGCCAATCCAGATTTAATCCTCAACACCCTGCATACTCCCCCTAAGTATAATTAGGTGTGACCTCCCCCAAAAATCAAATAGAACTTATATTTTTGGTGCTATCCATCCCCCTCACTAACAACAGAAAAATCCTGATTTCTTATCTGTAGGGCTTCTAGATTGTTAAATGTTTTACTTTTCCGTGTAGTTACTTGCCTTTATCAAAAATTTACATTCAGATTTAATAACCGTACTGTCCCATACTCCTCCACATTTGGATGAGACTCTGAAATCTGTAGCCAATAGTCACTGGGAATTGATAAATTTACCTTTCTTTAGCCTCTTTCAATTAACTTTTTTCCTGATGAAGGCCATAGAGATTACAGAAATATTTCACTCTTCTAGTGTGTTTTAAAATAAATTTTATATTGGGGAGCCAGAGCGGTAGTACAGTGGCTAGGGTGTGTGCCTTGCACGTAGCCCACATAGGTTTGATCCCTGACAGCCCATATTGTCCCCAGAGTCAGCCAGGAGTAAGCCCACCCAAAAATAATAATAATTAATTTTGTATTGTTTTAAAATTACTGTGTTCTGGGACCATAACTCAACCAGCTGAGAATTGCATATGAGAGGTCCCAGGCACCACTGTTACCTGGGGTAGAGGGATTTAACGAACAGTGTAAGGTGACAGTTAGGCCTCTTCTTAATAATTAACAATAACTCGTGTTCCAGAATAACTTTTTAGAAAATCTGGATATTTCACATTCTGCATCTCGTCATACTTAAACATAGATGCTTGATTCTGTTTTGTACCTTTTTGTTGAAAGTGTCCCTGTCATGTCTCAGTTGACATGAGAACTGTTTTAGGTCTAAAGAACAGGACACGTGAATGCAATGCTGTAGAACCTATTTCTGATCGCTTTGGTCAGATCTTCATTAATCATATTCTTCAAATACCTGAGGCTGGAGAGAAAGTACAGCAGGTAGGTAGCTTGCCTTACACATGGCCAGCCTGGGTTCGATCCCAGCACCCCATGTAGTTCCTTGAGCCCCATTGGGAGAGCCCCACCTGAGTTCAGAGCCAGGGGTAAGCTCTGAGCACTGCTAGGTGTCCCCTCTAAAAATGATTGGTACCTTCTCTATCTTTCAGGATTTTATTTTTCATTTATAAGAACCAGCTTGCTTGGCATTTTTTTTTAAATTATATTTTAGGGTTAACACTTAATTTTGGTCTATAAACTGCATATTATATATGTGTCTGTTTTTGTTTGTGTGTTTTGTTGGTTTGGGGGCCATACCCGGCAGTACTCAGGGATTAGTCCTGGCTTCATTGATCTCTCCTAGTGGGGCTTGGTGGATTTTATGCGGTGCTGGGGATTGAGCCCGGGTCAGCCACATGAAAAGCAAGTGCCAGCTCTATAGGTATGTTTTTCAGAAATAGTGAGGGAAGAGAGTAATTCTGAAGACCTGAAGAGCATATGAAATGGAATGGGTTACTTTGTTAGTCTCAGCTCTAGAATTAATGTGAACTTTGATACACAATCATTTTCAGTTTTTAAAAGACTCACCCTTGTTTGAAAAGCATTTTAGTACTATGTGACCTTTAAACTTGCGCAGTGATAAAGTTTCTTTAGATTTATAAATCTTTTTTGGGGTTTTTTGTTGTTTTTATGCTTTAGGGCCATTCCCAGGGCTTACTCCTGGCATGCTTGGAGAACCACCCATAGTCTTGGGAATAGGTCAGCTGCGTGCAAGGCAAGCACTCTGCCCTCTGCACTATTGCTTTGGTCCTAAAATAACAGGACTGGAGCGATAGTACAGTGGGTAGTGCATTTGCCTTGCTTGCAGCCAATCTAAGTTTGATCTGCAGCACCCCTTGTGATCCCTGAGCACCACTGTTGTGGTCCAAAAACAAAAATTAAATTTTATCATGGAATTACTTGGTAATTATTTTTTGTATGCATTCAAGATATTTTGATATTCCGAATAAAAGCCAAGGATATAGTAATTATACCATGTAATTCCATGATTGTGACTGGAACAATAGCACAGCGGATAAGGGCGTTTGCCTTGCACGCCACTGACCCAGGCTCAATACCTCCGTCCCTCTCAGAGAGCCCTGCAAGCTACCAAGAGTATCCCTCCTGCACAGCAGAGCCTGGCAAGCTCCTCGTGGCATACTCGATATGCCAAAAACAATAACAACAACTCTCACAATGGAGATGTTACCGCTCGAGCAAATCAATGAACAATTGGAGGACAGTGCTATAGTAATTGTATCTTAGGTTTCATTTTCCTTTTTCTCGTGATTAACTAAATCATACATAAGAAGCAAGTTTGGCTCAGCACTAAGTAACGTTCATATAATTAACACAAAAATGTATTGATGGTCAAAGAAGAAAAATTGTGAGAAGTTTATAATTTATTAGCTGCCAAAAGAGCTTCTAGCAAAATTCACTTTTTTAAACTAGCAAAATAGCAAAACTTAAGCAACATAAACATAAATAAAATTCTTCAATCATTCACTAAGTCAGTGATGGTTGGAGGGATCGCTCAGGATAGGAAATGAAATGTGTGGTACAAGTAGACAAAGGACCAAACATGATGGCCTCTCAGTGTCTGTATTACAAACCATAATACCCAGATAACTAGAGAGTAGGAAGGAAATTGTCTGCCATGGAGGCAAGGGGTAGGGTAGGATCGGAGTGACGAGAGGGATACTTGGGACATTGGTGGTGGATAATGTACACTGGTAGAGGGATGGGTATTCCATCATTGTATAACTGAAACTCAGTCATAAAAACTTTGTAACTATCTCACATGGATTCAATTTTTTAAATTATTTTTTAAGAATCAGAAAAAATCTTCAATGTCAAACTGAAAATAAGACTCACACTTAAACATTAGAAATATTTGTAGGAAAGTTGGGAATAAGACACCTACAGTATTTCATTTCTGTTTAAAACTTTACCCGATGGAGACAGAGAGATGGTACAGTGGCTAAGACACTTGTCTTGACTCTGACTGACCCAGGATTGATCCCTGGCACTCCATATGGTCCCTAAGCACAAAGCAAGAAGGAAGCCCTGAACACTTCTGGGTGTGGCCCAAAAAGCCAAAAACAGAAGACTACTGGACAACCTATTTACCTGGAAATCTCAGGCACTCAACTGAGGAGTTTTCAGGAATAAAATAGTTGAGTATTGTTGCTGCTTGCAAAATAATACACTAAAATTTAAAACACTAAAAGTGTTTCTCAAATATGAATCATTACAAGATAAAATAGAAGGAGCGAACCAAGTTTAAAGTTTACCAATTTGAAAAAAAATTTTTAATTGTATAAACTAGGGGCTTGGGGGGGTTGTTTGTTTTAGTTTTGGGGGGATTTTTTGTTTTTGTTTTGAGGGGGCACATTCTGCAGTGCTTAGGGGTTACTCCTGGCTCTGCACTCTGGAATTAACTCCTCCTGCCAGGCTTGGAGGACCATATGGAATCAAACCTCAGTGGCTTACATGCAAGGCAAGCGCTCTACCTGCTATGTTAGCTCTCTAGCCCGTTGGTTTGTTTTTTTTTTTTAATGGAATAAAAATACTGTGAGCATATATGTGGATTTATTTTATAACCGTGTGTATAAAATAAATGTATACACACACACACATGTAAAATTCAGAAGCCATAAAGATTGATTGGGGTGAGGGGGGCTCCCAAGCAGTACTCAAGCAAGGGACCAGGGCACCTTCTGCTGTGATTCTCAGCCATTAAAACTGGCCGTTCAGGGACTGGAGCAATAGTTCAGGGGGAGGGCGTTTGCCTTGCACGCAGCTGACCCAGATTCAATTCCCAGCATCCCATATCGTCCCCTGAGCACCACCAGAAGTAATTTCTGAATGCAAAACCAGAGTAATCCCTGTGTATCACTGGGTATGACCCAAAAAGCAAAAAGAAAAAAAAAGAAAAAGAAAGAAAGAAACCAGCCATTCAGCACAAGTGTCCTATAGTGCTCAGAATTACCTGAGCTACTCTGGCTGCACTGGGGGCCTTCAGGTCTGCACCCACAATGCTCAAGGGACCATGTGTTACCAGGGATCCAGCCAGGCAAGCAGCACGGAGGGCATGTGCCAAGTATTATCAACTAAAAGAAAAAGAGACGATAAAGGATAAAATTTCTATCCTAGTGGAAAAGCAAGAACAATGCAGTAGTGCTCAAGGAACTGTATGCACGGATCAAACCAAATCAACCACATGCAAGACCTTCACCCCTGTACTGCCTCTTGGATGTTTATACTTATTTTGTAATGGGGTGGGTAAGACGCCAACCCGAAATGCTCAGGGAGTACTGGCAGGGTAGTGGGCCATATAGGGTGCTGGTGATCAAACCCCTGTTGGCTGCATGTAAGGCAAGTCAGTGCTTTACTGGCTGTGCTCTTTCCAGCCTGTATACTGTATTTTCTTAAAAATGCACTTGTAAATAGCAAAATAATTAAAAGCAGTAGAATACATCTTGTCATTTTTATTTGGGGGTCACACCAGGCAGTGCTCACGAATTACTCCTGGCTTCACACTCAGGAATTACTCATGGCAGTAATTCCTTGGGACCACTAGGGATGGAATCTGGGTCTGCCCATGCAAGGCTGTACTATCTCTCTAGACCACTCGTGTGTTTTTTAATAGGAAGTCAGAGAACAAGCAAACAGTAATGAGGCTGGGCTGGAGTAGGGAAGTGAATTGGGAAGGAAGGTTCATTCATTACTAAACCTTCTGGAGGGAAGGAAGTGGTCTGTCTATATGTTGGGAGGTTACAGGGATATGTGAAATTTAGACAGGCCAGAGCATTAGTACAGCAGATAGTCGTTTGCTTTAAACACGGCCATCCCTGGTTCAGTACCCGGCATTCCATATGGTTCCCCCAGCACCGATAGGAGTGATTTCTGAGTACCAAGCCAGGAGTAACCCCTGAACATCGCCAGGTGTGACCCCCACCCCCCCAAAAAATTAAATATATGAAATGTTAGAAGTTTTGTTTTGTTTTGTTTTGTTTTTAATTGATCAGACTGATTGTGGTCCAGGGCATGAGCAAATTCACAGAGGTGGGAAATAACAACTGAAATTAAAAATACATTTTAATTTCCACTTAAAAGAAATACAAGTTAATAGGGTCAGAGAAATAGTGCAGGAATTACACAGTCCCTACTCTCCTATTATATATATGTTTTTAAATAAATACCTATTTTTACTCTGTTATAGCGCAAAACAATTAGTAGATTTAATAGCATCCAATAATAGAAGAGTTAAGAAAAAAGGACAGTACAGATTGGTGTGGATTTATATCAATGGGTGATAGACTTGTTTTAAGTAAAATTAAATTTGAATTTTTTCATTTATGTTAAAATAATGTGTACATGGAAATTTATATGTGTATGTATTAGATAGTACTGACTTTAAAAGATTCCTCCTTTTAATTTTTCAGGAAAATGTCTGAAGAGTTTTCGGTAAGTTGATGCGTTTATTTTTTTATAGTACTTTTAGCTTTGAATTTTTGTTTGTAATAGATGGCTTGCCTTTGCTTAAAGTTTTGCCTTAAGTGCTTTCTTAGCCTGATAAAATTTATACTATTGATTACTATTAGCAATAATCTAACATCTGTTGAAAAGTTTGTACCAGATACGATGTTTAGTGTATCATCACCTTTAAGCCTTAAACTAATCCTAGACTATTTTGAAAATGAGGAAACTGTCCACGGCCATACCACCCTGAACACGCCCAATATGTCTGACCTCAGAAGCTAAGCAGGGTTGGACATGGATAGTATTTGGATGGGAAAATGAGGAAACTTGAGTATCAAAGGGAATATGTAACTTTTGGTTTAAGCCAGTCTACATCATGTTGAGCAGTTGTGTCTAGAAAACTCAAACTTCTCTGAAGAATCTTAGTTGTTGATATTCTTTGTAACATCTCATTTTATATTAAATGAATTATTTTCAAAATAAACAGCTTGCCTTTTAAAAATGCAACTAGTTATTTATAATCCTTGACCCTGTGGCTGACTTGTCTTTTCTGAGTTCCTAATAGTGTTTGGCAAGATTGTCCATAGATGAGCTTAGTAAGATGTTCCTGTTTTGTATTGCAGTTGGCAGATGCACTGCCTGACCACTCCCCTGCCAAAACTTCTGCTGCGAGTAATACAAAACCTGGCCAACCTCCTCAAGGTTGGCCCAGTTCCAATCCTTGGAACAACCCAAGTGCTCCACCTTCTATGCCATCTGGACTCCCACCAAGTGCAACACCCTCCACTGTGCCTTTTGGACCAGCACCAACAGGAATGTATCCATCTGTGCCTCCTGCTGGACCTCCTCCAGGACCCCCTGGCCCCTTTCCTCCTTCTGGACCCTCATGTCCCCCTCCTGGTGGTCCTTATCCAGCCCCAGCTGTACCAGGCCCTGCTGGGCCATATCCTACACCAAATATGCCCTTTCCAGAGCTTCCGAGACCATATGGTGCTCCAACAGATCCAGCTGCAGCTGGTCCTTTAGGTCCATGGGGATCCATGTCTTCTGGACCTTGGGCACCAGGAATGGGAGGGCAGTATCCCACCCCTAGCATGCCATATCCATCTCCAGGGCCATATCCTGCACCTCCTCCCCAAGCACCGGGGGCAGCACCACCTGTTCCATGGGGCACTGTTCCACCAGGAGCCTGGGGACCACCAGCACCATATCCTGCCCCTGCAGGATCATACCCCACACCCGGACTCTATCCCACTCCAAATAATCCTTTTCAAGTGCCTTCAGGACCTTCTGGTGCTCCACCAATGCCTGGTGCCCCCCATGTGAGTGTTTTATTTTTTTATCGAATGTGCAGTAACAGATACGCAGCTGAAAGATTGCCTCGCGTTTTTAGTGGAACATTAGAAAGCTTTTTAAACTTTAAAGAAAGTGGTATACATATTGAAATAGAAAATGTAAATTTCAAAGCATACGTAAAACATTTTAAATAGGTGAAAATACAGGAAATCCCTGTAGTATAAAGAGAAAAACTTCCTAAAGAAGCCCCAAAACTTGAGTAAATTACTGTCCTCAGTAACATTCACGCGATCTCCCAGATACAAGTTTGTCAGGCTTGGGGCGGGGGTTCAGGAACAAGCGCCATAATACAGTGGTAGGGTGCTTGCCTTGTACGCAGTCAACCTGGTACCCTGTATATTCCACTGAGCCCACCTGGAATGATCCCAAGCACAGAACCAGGAGTAAACCCTGAGCACCACCAGGTGTAGCCCCAAAACAATATTCTAGCCTGGCAAGCTACCAAGAGTATCTTGCTCATATGGCAAAGCCTGGCAAGCTCCCCGTGACGTATTCAATATGTCAAACACAGTAACAGCAAGTCTCACAATGGAGACATTACTGGGCCCACTTGAGCAAATCGATGAACAACGGGAGGACAGTGCTACAGTGCTACTATTTATATAGCACCATATCAAACAGTTCAGTAAAAGCAGTCTGTCTGACTCACCTAATGTACCAATAGGTTTTCGAGGAATCCAGGGAAGTTAATATGTAATATTGCCCATTTTTCACTGTGCTCTCCATATTGTTTTTCTGGGAGGTTATTTAGAGTTTTAGCAACATTGAGCTCAGGAAAATACCACTATTATGCATTGCAGTTGCAGGTGTAATTTATATTTTATTGTTAGTCAATCTGGAGGAGGGTTGACATTTTAGTTGAGAATTCTGAATTGCCTTGGGCATAACACTGAGTAGAAAAGTAGCCACTTCCTCCAGAAATAAGGCTAGTGAGTATTCCAATGAGTCTTAATTCTCCTTACCTCCTTGGGGAGGAAAATACTGTATTTACTCTTAACAAAATAATCAGATTTGCAAGAGAGTAGTCATCTCCACTGTGAAGGGAAAAAAAAAAGATAAAGTACTCCAAAACTAACTTACTTGTTTAACATCTTCCTCTATATTTTCTGTTTAAAAATTAGTTTTACAAATTGTATGTCTAAGTGAGTGGTATGTATTGCTCTTTGCATTTATCTAGCAGGATGTTAATTTTAAGCCTCGACAAGGAGGCTTAAAATTAAACTGTATGTTGGGGCTGGAGAGATAGCACAGCGGGTAGGGCGTTTGCTTTGCACGCGGCCAACCCGGGTTCGATTCCCAGCATCTCATATGTCCCTTGAGCACTGCTAGGAGTAACTCCTGAGTTCAGAGCCAGGAGTAACCCCTGTGCATCGCCAGGTGTGACCCAAAAAGCAAAATAATAATAATAATAAACTCTATGTACAAAAATCTAGTTACTGACCTTTTCTTTCTTCTATTACAGTCTTACCATTAAACGATGGAAGGAAGAGATGATGTTTTGCTTTATGAAGTACATATATGCACATTAGTGCATATATTAAAATTGATGGTTTCACTAAGAGGGCATTCATGAAGAACAACCCTTGCAGCTCTCAGTGAAGATTATCTGCCTCTTGTACTTGGATGCATAGTACATCAGATGACTACAATCAGATAAAAATGTAAATCATTCAAATGTGATTTTATTTGGTTTTATGGAAAGTCAAAGTGATTGCATTTATTGAATAGTTCTTTGATACAATTTGTTCAATACAAGTTTTCCAGTTTGTTTAAATTATGGAACTGCACACTTAAATATCTAAAATGATGTGGACTGTTAAGAACTTACAACTTCATTGGGAATTTTTTTTTCTATTCTCCAAAATAAAGGAAAATAATCACATTGTCATAATTTAAGCAAATTATGCCTCAACCTTTTCTGAACTCCTCTAGATATGGAATAAATAAACCTGACCCTGGGGGAGTTATATTTTGCATATATATGTTTTTAATTTGTGATATTTGTCAGAATTGAGTTGTTAGCCAGGCAGTGTTCCACTTTTATTGAGCTTTCAGATCTCAATTTTGAGTTCTACCAATTTGTTTTCTTTTTAGCCAAAGGGGTGATTCAATTCTAAAATTTGATGTTTATGGAAGCTAACTTTTTAATGCAGGCTCATATGTGTGTAAATTATTTTCTTAGAGAATTGGTACTTAGAGAATGATTTAGAATATATTACATTGATACTGCTTTTGGAAGAGCTCAAGGGAGGAAGTCATGCTCCTTTGTCTTTCTACATTTGAACTTCAAACTAGAGGAAACCCTGGAAATTGCTTCATGATGACAGGTAGTTTGCATTCCCACAAAACTTATCTGCCCAGAGCATTCCATGCAGCCCATCTCCCTCTTCCTGGGTACTTTGGAAGAAGCACATCTCTTACTTCTCCCTGCTAGGGACACTGGCACATCTCGGGGTCTACATGAACACATATAGCAATTATGTTTGGAGAACTTGTACCACACAGCCATGACTGTTGTCTTTGTACAAGTTTGATCAAAAATATGTATTTGAGTCTAGTTATGTCCTCCTTGGTTTATAAAGTGCTTATGGCCAACAGTTCTGTTCTGTATTTGTTCACAGGTAAATAAGTAGAATTGATGCCATCCTTAAAGATTTCTCTTAACGCTGAAAATAATAAGATGTAATTTAAAGCTGAGTTTAAAGCAATGATTGTGATACTAAAATTAGTATTGTTTATAACCGCGGGATTAGCACAAGAAGCTTTTTGGACTCTTGGATTAATTTGATTTTTTGTTTGTGTTCTTTAGTTTTGGGGGCCATGCCTGGCATTGCTTGGAGGTTGTTCCCTTCTGTGCATGGGTACCTTGCCAGTTTGGGGGCATCTAACCCTGGCCTGCTGCATGCAAAGTAAACTTTATTTGAATTACTCCCCACCCATATTATTAGATTTGAAATAGAACTCACCATGTTCTTTGTCAGTTGATTATTTTGAAACTTTGTGTTCACTGGGTTACTAAAAATCTATTGTGAACTTCTTTCCCAGTAGAGATTTATGCTAGGCTAGTGCTCTTGTTTTTGCCTAGAAATAAAATATTTAGTAATTAATCCTCTTAATAGTTTAAAGTCAGGGATCCCGAATGCTGCCGGTTCAATGATTTAAAGCTACCTCCTTTCAGGAAAGAGTAAGATGATTGCCTTGGGGTACAACATTCACTTTTTTCATAATCTCTTAACTGAATGGCAGGTTCAAGTTTCAGAATTAAAACTAACTTGTTGATATTCTCTGACCAGACATGCTGTTAGCTCTTACAAAGCATAGTGGCACAACTGATGTTTTGTTTTTGCCTTGTTAAGGACAAACAGCAGTTGTCAACTCTCAGAATCTTTTGTCAAAAACAGCCTCCTTTGTACAAGGCAAAGTATTTTTTTTAAGGCAAAGTATTCTTAAAGAGTGACATAGGGTATATTGTCCATTGATAGCATGATGTCAGCTAACTCATAGTGCTAAGGTGATAGATTGGGATAGCAGCAAAAATCCCTATTTTTATTGTTACATTGGAATAAGTAACGGCCCTGGCTTTAGATGCTGTGTTTAACACTAGAAAGGATGTTTCATTAAAAGAAAAAGAATTAGAAGGGAGTCTTAACTGTGGAGTCTATTGATAATGGAGAAAATATTGCTAAAGAGCTATGAACACAAAATTTGAAATCACTACTTTTGATAAGCAATTTTTGGTAATAACCTGCCTTGCTCAACCATTTTAACTTTTTGTGTTTTTCTCCTTAAGGACTTTTCAGCTGTTATTTGTGGGTTTGTTTTTTTTTTCTATAATGTTGGACTAGAAGATCTTAAGATCAGTATATTAGGAAGTATTTTGGCAATAGGAACTTTGGAATGTGCATTTGAACTTTCCAAGCAAAAAATTTGTTAGATGGAGATCATTGAAATGTGCTGAAGTTAAAATAAAATTTTTTTTTATATGAACCTGAAAGACTGCCAAAAATTTTTAAATGCAGGGGCTAAGTAGATACTACAGGAGTTAAGGGGCTTGTTTTGCATGCAGCCAGCCTCAGTTCAGTCCCCAGCACCATACATGGACCCCTGAGCACAGACCCAGGAGTAATGAGTACCGTTACGTGTGCCTCCCACCCAACGAGAAAAAAAAATTTAAATATAGCCAGCATATATCAGACCCTCAATCACAGTTCCCAAAAATCCGGGCTCCTTTATGGGGCTGGAAAGATAGCACAGCGGGTAGGGCATTCGCCTTGCACGCGGCCGACCCGGGTTCGATTCCCAGCATCCCATATGGTCCCCTAAGCACCACCAAGAGTAATTCCTGAGTGCAGAGCCAGGAGTAACCAAAAAGCCAAAAAAAAAAAAAAAATTTGGGCTCCTTTAAAAATAATGACACTTAGGGTCAGAGCGATAGCACAGCGGGTAGGGCTTTTGCCTTGCACTCGGCCGACCTGGGTTCAATCCCCGGCATCCCATATGGTCCCCCAAGCACCACCAGGAGGAATTCCTGAGTGCGGCCAGGAATAACCCCTGAGCATCGCTGAGTGTGGCCCAAAAAGCAAAAAATTAAGTAAAAATAATGACACTTGTTTTTAATGACAATATAATAGTGACACTTGGGTTGGCCACGTGAAGCTCTGACTCCAAAACTATTTTGTATAAAATAGGACATTGATCAAGTATATACAACACATTTATTTTCAATAACCTAAGAGCCTTTTTGGGCAAATTTTCTCTTTATTATTTTCAGTGAAAAATAATTGGGCAAATTAAAAAAGATGGATTTTTACCTTAACTAGTAACACTACTAGGATGGAATGTTGGATTGTTTTCTAGGAAAGAAGTCAGTTTGCCTATTATCTTTTACCTCAGAAATGCTTAGTGCTACCTGTTGTACTCAAGTGTAGATCTTTTCAAACTCTAGGTGTGAACATAGAACTCCATTTCAATTAAAATACTGTGGCTAGTTTGCCTGTCAGTTGCCTACACTTATATGTAGTTAGTGCCAATGTCTTCCTCTGTGATCCTGAATAACTCAGTGCTAACTTTTTATTAAATGTCAGGATAAGAAGCCCTAGAAATTAAACCTAAGCACAAGCCTTCAAGTATTGAAACTTGAAAACCATAAAAGCTAAATTTCAGATGAGTCACACTGATAAAACTGCACTATGCATAAAATGTGATTGGTTGTTTTCAGGGAAGACAATAATAAAGCAATAGTTAATAGAATTGAGGACACTGTTCCTTTTGTTTTCAGAATTCTGCCCAGTAAAATAGCTGCCAATAAAATCAGTATTGAGAATGTGCCATGGAAGCTTCTGACTAAAGAAAACTTAGCAATGCACTTAACCAACTCATGTGTCCGAATCCAGGTTACTTTGTTAGATGACAGAGAGACAAGGATAAAGGAGAATGTCCTAGAGGCCCACATTCTGGCGATGGCATTTACAAATTTGTTAGAACACCATTGTTTACCTAGGTAAACATCTTAGTAATGCAGCTGGTGGGAATTTTACTTAGGTAAACATTTTAGTAATGCAACTGGAGGGAATTGGAGGCACCTTTTGTGTATTTTAAGGAGCAAAGTCTGGTGTTAACTAAATGTTTTTTAACTTTTCAATCCTGCGAAATAGTGGCATGTTTTTAATCTTCATTTCTCCCTCCTGAGAAAGGCACTTTCACTGCCTGTCACTGATTCGCAGATACTGATTTGTTGCCATTTAGTAAACTGATTTTATATGTGTGCTATAGAAAAACTTTAAATTTTTTTTGATATCACTTTTTTCATTGACTAAATAATGACAAATTTAGTGTATGTAATTGTCTATGCATTTTAAGTTAAACTGCCTAAAATGTGATTTGAGACATATACATTTGTTTGTATTATGAACTACAAGCAATCTGAGATGTTTGGTTTTATCACCTGCTGCTGTATTTGAAAACAAAGACAAATATTGCTTTAAGAAGTAATTATAAGTAGAAATGGTTTATGGATATGATACTTGATATTTTTTTAAGATAAACTTGTTTGCTTTTGTGTATTATACCTGAAAACTTTTTAAACTTGTTTTTTCATGGTTGCATCCTTGGTTTTTTTTTTTTTAATTTTATACTTTAAGCCTGCTTTTTCTTGAGCCAGTTTAGAACTTGATTAACTACAAATCATTGTGCTGAAGAAAAGGAGGACTGAGAAGCTTTAGACACGATCACTTCTGTGTGGGGTGTGATTCTTGCATGGAAACATTATATATAATGCATCTTTCAGAAGGCCGCTGAGCACTAGATGCCCACACTCTGCTCCCTTGAAGGCTGAGCTATGCTTTGTAACCAGTTTGTCCAAACAAAGTTAGATCCCCTTTTCTATCCACCCTAGCAGTGACGCTGTCTTTTTCTTTCCTGAGTTAGGTTAAGCCTTAACTGCTATTCAGTAGGGAGAAGGGTCACTATTTTGTTTACCATTTCCTTGCCACAGGGAATTTGCTAGCCTTTTCTTAGAAACCTCCTTGAGTTTTGAAGTTTTGGAATTTAACTTGAATTTCTGCCTTTTTTTTTTTCTTATAATATTGATCGAAATTCAACTGTAGTTTTCACGTCTTCATATTCCCTAAAAGTTCCCACCTACATTTATAGTGTATTTGGTTACCATTCTGAAACAAAGAACATTTTTTTCCCGTTAATGAAATGGCATTTCTTTAATAAACTTCATTCTAATGATACCTGATCCAAGCAGGGTTTGTTTTTTTGTTTTTTATTTTTTGTTTTTGTTTTTTTTACCACCATATTAAAACTTTGTACCAATCCTGTTGCTAAAGTTTTGTGATACTAAATTGAATCCTGATCAGTTGCTTTGGTGGATGGAGTGGGGACACCCAGCTTAGTGCTGGAAGGTTACTGCTGGTGCTCAGGGCATGTGATACTGTGGTAGGGACCAAGGCCTTCTGTACTAAGAGCATGCAGAGCCTTTTGAGCGAACATCAGAGAAGAGTTTGGGTCATTTAGAGTTAGTTGCAGTAAAACTTGTTTGTTACTCTTGTTGGAGCACTTTTGTTGAAGTAACTAGCTACTTTGATTATGTAGTAACTGTAATAACTAGTTTATTACCTCAACAGGTTTTTGTTCAATATTTTACACTGACTTGGGGGTTTAGGACTGAGGAGGTGACCCACTGGGTAAAGAGCTTTGTTGTCTTTTCCCTTTATGTTCACAGAGCAATTCTACCCTGAGGGTTCAGAAGCAGCATAACATTGGAGCAGGAGAGAATAGAAGGGGATTAGGTGTTTGCCTTGCAAATGCCCAGCCTGGGTCAATCCCCAACACCCCATAGGAAGCCCATCAAAAGTGAACCCTGAGTGCAAAGCCAGGAGTAAACACTTAGCACTGCTGATTGTGTGCCCCCTTCCCTAGAAAAAGGATGAGGGACTTTTTTGAGGTTCAGTTAATGTTCCCAAGTTAGATCTGATCTTTGCTTATAGATCTCACAAAGTCCTCACTTGGTAGAGAGAGAAAGTAACTCTTTCTGCCTTAGAAAGCTTCTAATCCCAGAATGAGAACCCCAACTCATTGCCTCATTTACCTACCTTCCGCCCCAAAATTCAGTCTCTAAATACAGAGTAGGGGTTAAGATTTCAGGGTGTGAGTGGAGCCGAGAATACAGTTGGCAGGCCAGCTTAAATTCAAACACCAGCATCCCATATGGTTCCCCTAAAAGGCAAAGTCAAGAGTAACCCCTGAGCACAGCCAGGTGAGGCTCAAAAACAAAAAAAAAAAGCTTACTGGAATTTGGCAGAGGACAATTTTTTTCATAGTCCTTAACAAACAAGTTTTTCTTTCTTTGTTGGGGAAGCGTAAAGTTAAAAAATGATGAGCTTCTTTGAAACTTTTTTGAGGGGTCACACCTGGCGATGCACAGGGGTTACTCCTGGCTGTGCGCTCAGGAATTACCCCTGGCGGTGCTCAGGGGACCGTATGGGATGCTGGGAATTGAACCCGTGTCGGCTGCGTGCAAGGCTAACACCCTACCCGCTGTGCTATTGCTCCAGCTCCTTTGAAACTTTAAAATGGAATGTAGAAGGGTCTAAGGCGAAGCTGGAGGGTGGGAGCTTGGGATTGGTTCCCAGAGCTCTGGGGGGTGAGGACTCAGAATACAAAACTTGTAGAAGACCTGTTACCTCATTAAGGTTTGCAAAAGTTCTAATCACAAACTCACAAGGAATTCCAAGTCAAAAAATGTTAGTGTTCTTAAGAAATTTGACATTATGGGACCACACATCAGGTAGGCCAATCAGGATTCGATCCCAGTATCCTCATATGCTCCCCTGAACCCTTCTTGGAGTGATCCCTTGGTGCAGAGCTGGTTATTAAATAAAAACAAAATGAAATTTTACATTTTGTTAGTCTGTTTGCTTAGTGTCTGTTTGGCCTTACAGTGTTTTAAGTGATCATTTAGATAGAGACCAGTGAGTTTCAGATGTAAAAGTTAGAAACCTTGATATAGTAGCACACCCTAAAGATAGATTTAAATGGAAGTCTGTCTTAGAGATAAAAAAAAAAAAGTAAATCCCATGATCTATGAAGAAGCCAGCTCTTCAGTATTTAAGATTTGTAACTAGATACTTTGTTCAAGCATCCCTTTTTTTTTTATTATTAGTGGATCACCGTGAGGTACAATTACAGAGATACAAACTTTTGTGCTTGCATTCCAGTCACACATTGATGGAATGCCCATCTCTCCACCAGTGCCCATTCTCCACCACCAATAATCCTAGTATCCCTCCCACCAACCCCGCCCATTCCCCCCCCCCGCCCCCCAGCCTCTGTGACAGGGCATTCCCTTTTGTGTTCTCTCTTCTTTTGGGTGTTGTGGTCTGCAATAGAGGTATTGAGTGGCCATCATGTTTGGTCTGTAGTCCACTTTCAGCACGTATCTTCCATCCCGAGCAGGTCCTCAGAACACCCTTTACCTGGTGTTCCCTTCTCCATCTAAGCTGTCCTCTCCCCCAGAATGTGAGGCCAGTTTCCAAACCATGGATCAGGTATCCTCCTTTTAATCTAGTTCTAGACATCCTGTTAGACAGACCTTTGCTTTTTCTTTTCAAGATAACCTGATGGGGGCCAGAGTGATAGTACACCAGGTAGGGCATTTGCCTTTTACATGAGGCTGACCAGGTTGGATATGGTCCCCTCAGCACTGCCAGGAGTGATTCCTGAGTACAGAGCCACGAGTAACCCCTGAGCATTGCTGAGTGTATTCCAAACACCTTCCCTCTCTCCCCCTTTTGTTTGGGGCTGGAGATAAGTACAGCAGTTAAGGTGATTGCTTTGTGTCTCACTGACTCTAGTTCAAATCCCTGGCCCTTCCTGTGGTCACAAGGGTCCACTCCTGACCATTGCCTAGTAGGGGGTTTGGGACCACACCCAATATATGCTCAGGGGTTACTCCTGGCAGTCCTTGGGGCCGATATAGGATGCCAGGGATCAAACCCCAGTCCCTTGCGTACAAGGCAAGCATTCTACCCACTGTCCTCTCTCAAGCCACAATTTGATGTGTTTTTGTCTTCAAGACATTGGAGAGGTAAATAGACCCCTGTCCTCAACTCGAATGACTAGAGGAACAGAAGCTGCCAGCGGCTGGTAAGCCTGGGCTAGAACTTGTGGTCACAGAGTGTGCTCAGAATGTCCATGGGACAGTCTTGGCCACGCTTTGTAACTACAGAACATACTTAGAATATGCTTGTGTCTTTGAGATAGCCTTGACCTTGCTTTTCAAATAACACGCTTGAGAATTTGCTTCTATACTGTCACACCACTGTCTGCATGCACAACACCCCCATCAGATAACCGATAAAGCTGGTCCACAGATCTTAGGGGTGGGGGGTGTCAACCTTTCCTATGGACCACATGCTTTTCTGGACCTGCTAGCATACTAAACCCAAGTTCTTCCAACTCAGGACACATCGCTTAATTTTTTCGCTAGCCTGCATCAGTGTGAATTCTGTAACAACACCATGCCAAAGCTATGGAAAAACTTTACCCTAAACTAACATACAACAAGAGCCCAAATTAAATTAACCACATATCCTACACTAGTGTCATTCCTGGAAACAAATGATAACTTAGAATCATTATACATGCTTTGTTTACCTCTTTCACATGCCTTTCAGTGGTTTCCCTAGTACTTTGGTTTCCAAATTCATAACCTGGAAAGGAATCGGTCTAATCTTAAACCTTGTATAGCATACCTTTCCCACACTTGATGTTACTGCATGAATTCCATTGGATATTTACTTTTTGTTTTGCTTTGTTTTGTTTTTGTTTGGGGTCCTACTCCTGGCTCTGCACATTCTTGGTGGGGCTCAAGAAATCCATCCAGGTCCTGCTCAAAACAAGTGCATTATGCACAGTACTATTACTCCAGTCTCTGGATATTTACTTACAAAAGCTAGTGTTTCTGTTTGAAATACAAATCTGTATAGCTTGGTGAATCAGCACAGATCTTAATGTTTTCTAAGCAATGGCAGGTAGTGTCCAAAGGGATTGGAGTTAAGAATAGGTTCAAGGGGATCAGAGCGAACAAGACCTACCTGGGTTTGATCCCTGGCATCCCACATGGTTCCCTGCAATCACCAGGTGTGTCCCTTCCAAAAAAAACAGGTTCCAGGGCCAGAGGATAGGACAGCAGCCTTGCCTTGCACATGGCTGATTAGAGTTCCATTACTAGCACCCCATATAGTCCTCCAATCCACCAGTAATGATCCCTGACTCCAGAGCCAGGAGTAAGCCCTCCTGAGCACAGCCTGGTGTGCCCCTGTAGGGGAAAAAATAGAATAGGTTCAAGAGGTCAGGTGAGAGATATTAGTACGGTGTACAGCAGACAGGACGTTTACCTTGCACATGTTCAACCCCAGTTTAATCCCTAGCACCACATATGTATGGTCCGACACATAGCACCCCAGCACCTCAAGGAGTGACCACTAAGCACAGAGCCAGGAGTAAGCTCTGAGCACTGCCTGGTGGGATCCCACCCCCAAAATAAAAATAGATAAACTACATGACTTTAGATCAGAACTCCTGCTCATACTTTTAT